GGGGGGGTTGTTTTTCTTTTTGCATTGCCAAAATTGTCAAATGTGCAGTTAATAATTGGTTGCTTTTAAGGACAAGCGGGCGAACCCAGATTTCAGGGGTTTCCACTAATCTTTACCTACACCAAAATGGGCATTGTCCTACCTATAGGAGAAGTTTGGTTTCATTGTTGTATATATTTGTTTGGTTATAGAGAAAACTCTCCTTGTCTTTTAAAGAAACCGAACAAGGGGCAAAATCTTAACCTTCGATTTTCTCAAAACAGCATTTTTCGGGATAGCCCCCCTTGTGCTTAAAAGCGACCAATTTAAGCGTTATACTTCTCTTTAGTGGATTAAGGATGGCCTGTATATGGAGTACTTTTACTCCTTCCAATTTTATTCTTTACTCATTGAAAACGACTGTGTCTTGCTGATTGCTGATTTGCCATTTTATGAGGATGACGTAGATATGACATAAATAACGGATCTTGTTTTTGTTTGATGTTATAGATTTACCGGGAGAAGAAGTTCCTCATGTATGACTTTGGCTCTCCTTCTGAAAATATGAAACATTACAACCAGGTGGGTTCATGGCTGAAGGTTCTTATTGTTGTTGTTGCTGTTGTTGTTGTTGTTGTTATTATTGATCCAGCTGATATTCTTTTGCGTTCTATTCAGCACAATTCAACAGTTGCTGCAGCTTTTCTTTTCCTGTTGGTTTTTATTTTACTTTTACCATCTCCACTCTGCAGGGAGATGTAGGGCCTTTAGGTCTATAAATAGACTCATCTGATTGAGTTCAAGATTACCCAAGATATTATAAATACTTCGTATATGATGATACAACGTCAAGTTCAACAGCCAATGTGCTACAAGAAAAAATGGGAAGGCTTTAAATTTAACGTAAACAATGTTTGTTGGCAAAAAATCTTTTACATTCACAACTTCCTTTTTTTCCCTCGACTGTATGTGCTAAGCTATGTGCGTGTGTATGTGTGTGTGTGTGTGTATGTGCATGCGTTTGTGCGTGTGTATGTGTGTGAGTGTGTGTATGTGTGTGTATGTGTGTGTATGTGTGCGTGTGTGCGCAGGCTTGGATGTTTGTGTATGTGCGTATGTTAGGCTGTATGTTTGTGTTTGTGTTTGTGTAAGGCTTTATGAATGTGTTTCTTGGCTTTACGAGTGTATGGATTTGATCTAGTATGCTCCTCAGACTTGCTTGTTTCAAACGCGACCTTCGCATTGTCCTGTTTGTTTCAGACGAGCCCACCAGAGTATGTCGTCACCAACATCACTGTGCCTGTCCTGGCGTTCACCGGTACCGACGACTGGCTCTCTGACCCAGAGGTTCGCCTCTCTGTTGTGTCTTTTGTGTTTGATTACCATCATCATGATTGTTATTTTCATAAATATATATATATATAGGCCACGAACAAACACTTTCCACCTTTCCATGTCCTGGGCTAGTCGCTTGATGCCACTCCATGTCTTCCTACTTTTCTGTACATCCATCTCCGTGACTCTTCTCTTGGAGAAAACATAGCTCAGGAGATTAGAAGACGAGTAGGAGCGAAAGTTCTTCATACTGAGGCCTCTAGCTTTTTCTTCTTTTTCAACATGCAATGGGGTTGTCTTTTTTATCTTGTTTTGTGAAAAGTAATATTTTCTGTGGTATGTTTGTTCCTGTATGTTTCAGCATATTCCTATCTTGTCTTTAAAGTAATATTGCTGGTCAAGGTTTCTCATAAATAGATGTTCA